TCTGTGTGCCCACCCCCACAGCAACTGGCGAGAGAAAGAGGAGGGAAACCAACAGCGATTCAAAGGACAGGAGCACACAGGGAGGCTTGGGCAGCAGAGGGAAGAGGATATTGGACAGAAGAGAGGGTGATTGGTACAACATATATAGGAACTAACCAGGGCGGACTGACCATTTGGAAACTCGGACACTGCCCAAGGGCCTGGGGTCAGTAGGGGGCCCCATGAGATGCCCCTGGTACCTTTTTCATAGGCTTTTTTTAGTTTGGGCAAGGACACAGGGGCCCCATGATCCCCTATTGCCCGGGGGCCCCATGAGTTGTCAGTCCACCCCTGGAGCTAGCCCAAAGCGTTCAGTAGGGAGAGGAGGAGAAGCCAGATTTTAGCTGCAGGGGGAGTCACAAGGGAAAAATTCCTGTAATTGCCCCCCCCCCCCCACATTGCATTAATCACCCCCTCTTCTGGCCATAATCCAATTCTATCTGATCCCAGGCTCCCCTGATGGACTGATTCCAGCACAATATGTTAGGTTTTTCTGACTTCTAATACTGTATGCAGGGAGTTCACCATTCCAAAATTTGAAATCTATAGCACAGCAGTCAGAATTAAGTGGCATGCCATGTTAACCACTTCCCGTCCGCCCTATAGCAGGAATACTGCTACAGGGCAGCACGGGTGAGCAAAATCACATATATATTTATAGGGGGGGTCTGCAATTACAGAGGTCAAATCGGTGCAGTTCCAACTTGGTCGGAGCCACACCAATTTCTAAAGTAGTATATGTACTACTTTTGGTGCGTTTTGCATAGAGATCTGTGTCAGATGTCCGCAGATGGCAGAGACAGGGACAGCTTTTTCATATATTGATATGAGCAATGTGATTGCTTTCCCCATCATCACTAGGTATACAGTCATCCTTTAGAACAGTGGTTCTCAACCTGTGGAACCACGAGACCCACATTTGTCCTTGGTCATTAAGTCATGACCCCCCCAAAAAAAAAAAAATGAATTTCCGAAAAATTGTAATTTATTCCACAAAAAATAACTTGTGCAGTATTCTACAGCGAGTGAGGAGAGGAGAGCCGGTAAGCTGTACGGCTTCCCGAACTCCAGCACAGAGCCCACCCACCACGTCAACGTCACTCACAAGGCACGCGCACAACGTCCCCGTCGCCTAGCAACCGCGCCGCTCAGGGTATAGCAGGCTGTTGTGCCGAGTCAGTCATTCTGCAAACCGAGGAGACAAGAAGTGGAGTTGTAGTGTCCTGCAGTGCAGTGGAATACGTATGGGAGGCGGCCTCAGGGAGGGCCAGCCATGGCTCAGCAGCTAGGATATTGTAGCCATTCATCTCCGGGAGCCGCACAGCCTCACATTTCCTCATTATAACACAGCTCTTCCCCGGGTAGGAGAATGTGCAGCTCATGACATTTCGGATCGGTGCAGTTACAGTGCCGATCATCTGGAACACACGAGTGAGAGGGGTAGATTTAATGGGCGGCGGAAGATCAGGCCAATCGGGGACAGGGACATGTCATCTCTATGATGGGGGGGCAGATCTGCATGTGGGCGTATCTGCATGTGCGCCTGAAGATGGATAGAGGAGCGGTGTCTCGGTTCCTAAGACCATCGGAAATATGTGTTTTCCGATGGTCTTAGGTGACCCCTGTGAAAGGGTTGTTCGACCCCCAAAGGGGTTGCGACCCACAGGTTGAGAACTGCTGCTTTAGAACAACCTTTCTCAAACTTTTTTATCCCAGAGGAACCCTTGAAATGGTTCATATCTCAGGGAACCCTTGCTAGGATTAGTCCATTGGGGGTCACTAGGTAAATGCCCCTTACATTGGTGGTCAGTGGGAAGAACCCTTGCTAGGATTAGTCCAATGGGGGTCACTAGGTAAATGCCCATTACAATGGTGGTTAGAATGGCACTATTATAGAGAGCTTTCAAGATCATTGGTGCCATGCTACTGGCTCTGCCAAGCAGTGATGACCTGGATCTACAAAGACACCATCAGATGGGAGGTCCATTAATTACAACTCAAGGAACCCCCAGCAATCTTTGAAGGAACTCTAGTTGAAAGTGGCTGCTTTAGAAGCTTATTTATATATAGTCATAACATTCTATCCAAATAGTAATGTTCTGTGTACTAGATGTGATCCTAACAGTAAGCTGGCCATACACGTAGAAAAATTCATTGTTGCAACATGGGTATAGTAAGGAGTAGCTGCATGCCCTTCTTTAGGTGGCAGCACAGTGGCTAAATGGTTAGCACATCCACCTAGCACTACCTGGGTCATTGGTTCAAATGCCAAACCTTGACACTATCTGTCTGGAGTTTGCATGTTCTCCCTGTGCCTGCATGGGTTTCCTCTGGGTACTCCGCTTTCCTTTAAAGACATACTGGTATGTTCATTGACTGCTGTCTAAATTGGCCCTAGTATGCATGTGAGTTATGGACCTTGGATTGTAGGCTCCTTGAGGGCAGGGACTGATGTGAATGTATAATATATATGTAAAGTGATGTGTAAATTGACAGCCCTATATACTGTAAATACAGGTAATAAATAAAAATAATAAAATAGGTAGTGGTCGGGGGACAGCAAAATGGTGTTACAATGTCGAGCTTTTACCATCAACCTGGCAACCCATGTGAAGGAGCCCTAAAGGAATGGTAGGTATAAGGTGCTACACAGGGCTGGCATTAAAAGTAAATCTATTGCTTTTCCCTGCATGTGTGTCTCACAGGTTTAAAACCTTTAAAAAAAAAACTAAAATTGTGCCCCTAAAACTGTTAAATCCTGTTATACCTTGTTTCATTTTGTTATATTGTAGTTTATTTACATTGTTTTTAACTTTATTGCTGTCAGGTGTCAGGTGGGATGACATAACCCCTAAGGTTTATTATGGAGTTAAATAGGAACTTTTTTAACTTGTCGGGTTGCTTTAACTGACATCATAATTCAAATCAAAGCTGACCCATTTGATCTGCAGATGAATGAAACAATGTAGATACAAATGTAATACTGCTACTTTGTATCTATCTTGAATCTAAACAGCTTTTATAAATATTGTATCAAGTCCATATTTTGACAACAGCAACTTCTACAGCTGTTGTATTTACTATGATTTTGACAGCTAGGAATTGCAGGCAAGTATGTGTTGGGACGGGTTATCCTACACACCCTATGTGCTTCAATTACGTTTTTGGGGTGTGTGCAGCAAGTGTCCACAAGTAGGAGTTCATAGTAGAAAATTATGCCTGAAGAAGCCTTCCAACTCTAGGCATTATGTCAGGCAGGCAATTTTAGAGAAGAGATTAATTATGTAGCTAGCAATTTAATCAGCAGAGCCACTGGCTTTTTGTCACCTAGAAGTGATGCGTTGCTGCTACAAGCTAAACTAATGCTACAGCATTGGGTTGGTGAGCTTTGCTACAAATCTCACCTCTAAAATGAGTTGAATGAACAGCAATTGTCGCGCTGGGGCTCTTCTCACTGACATGAAACACTAATCTTACTGAAGATGGGAACATGAAACAATACTGATTGTTCCCTGTCTCTAGACCCTGTAAAGGGATACTATATTGTTTGTTTATTTATTACAGGTACTTATATAGCACAACGTCAATTTACACAACACTTTACATATACCGTATATCTGTTTTCCCCACCACCCTATAGCAGAAATACTTCTACAGGATGGAACAGTGCACAAAATCACGTATATATATGTGATATTGCAATTCTGGGTAGGGGGCGCACGTGCGCGCTACCCGCACCGCCATTGGTGGCCTCACCTGTCGATCACTGGGTCCCGGCTGGTGATTCCCCACCAGCTCCCAGTGATTGCCGTGTATCACCGACAGGGGAGAGACCTGTATGTAAACAATACAGATCTCTCCCCTGTCAGCTCCTGTACATTGCTTTGTATTGCTCTGCATAGCAAAGCAATGTGCTTACACAGTAAAGCATGCACACAGCACACAGTAAAACACAACACAGCACACAGTTAACCCTTTGATCACCCCAGATGTTAACCCCTTCCTGCCCAGTGCCACAATGATCACTGTATTGATGTCACTGGGGATGTCAGGGACAGTTAGTCAGTTCCCCCACAGTGTCAGAATGCCTGCCACAGTCCTGCTATAAGTCACTGATCGCCACCATTACTAGTATAAAAAAAAATTCCAGTATCTGTAACGCCATTTGTAGATGCTATAACTTTTACATAAACCAATTAATTTACAAGTATTGGGGGGTTTTTTTTTTTTTTTTGTTTTTAGCAAATACATGTAGCAGAATATATTTTGGCCTAAATTGATGATGAAAATTTACGACATTTTATTTTTTACATTTTTTTACTGGACATGTTTAATAGCAAAAAGTCAAAAATATTGTTTTTTTTCTCAAAATTGTCGGTCTTTTTATTATAGTGCAAAAAATAAAAAAAATGCACAGGTGATCAAATACCACTAAAAGAAAGCTCTATTTGTGGGGGGAAAAGGATATAAATTTCATTTGTGTGCAGCATTGCATGACCGCGCAATTGTCAGTTAAAGTAACGCAGCTCTGTATCGCAAAAAAGGGCCTAGTCAGGAAGGAGGGTAAACCCTCTGGAGGGCAAGTGGATATTGTACATTCACATCAGTCCTCGTCTTCAAGGAGCTTACAATATAAGATCCCTAATTCACATTCATACATATATATACTAGGGCCAATTCTGACAAGCGCCAATTAACCTACCAGCATGTCTTTGGAGCACCCAAAGGAAACCCACGCAGGCACAGGGAGAACATGCAAACTTCAAGCTGGTAGTGCCGTGACTGATACAATAGCATGTATAGTCTTGCAAATAAGCTTTTAGAAAAAAAAATAACGATACTTCAAATTAAAATTTTAACATCAACAAACATTTTATTATCTGGCATCATGACATTAATATTAAAGTAATTACTGCAGCATTAGATTGTTTTAGACCAGAGGTCTCCAGTTGATGCACTCATCAGTATGACAAAGAGTAAGCCAGAACTGGCATTATTTCACTGGTTAGTTCTTCTGGGAGCAAAGAGACTGTTGTGATAATTGTCTGTGTTAAGCCCAGCAACCTGTAAATAAACACAAGTCAACTTCTGATCACCCTCTATAACACAAAGATAATTTAACAATAATGCTTTTAAGACCTAAATTGAGACATCTGTATAGTTAGAGAATAAAAAAGCCATGATTCATGAAGCATACTAGAAAGTTTATATTTTACAGGCTTTGAAATCTGATTTACACTATTCTACTGTAGAGGTACATGGTAGTGCCTTGCCATCCTAGGCTAAAGGACTGTGTGTTCCTATTGATACTTACACTGTGGGGAGACTCAGCCCTAGTCTCTGCATGCAAGGGTGACTCCATATGACATTGCAAATTAAATGAGCCACCCTGAAATAGGAAACCTGGCTCAGTAGTTATGGCACCAGCTTAAACTGGAACATTGGCAAGGCTTACAAGATAAAGAAGCTGCATACCACCAAGTGATTAAATCAAGTGATGAAAGTGCTTTAAAAACTGAGGGTTTAATATAATTGTAATTTGTCAGGAGCCACTGCAGCACCCTGGGGATGCATCAACATGTCACTTCTGTCATTTCAGATACTATATTTGTGGTGGGTGAGCCCATTGTACAGAGAGTCGTGAACAGAAGACCTGGATGTTTCATAACTATTGCTGTGTGAGTGTTGTCAACTGTAGCAATACGTTTTTTGTTTGTCTTGACAGGTTTTAATTAAGCAGACTGAATACATAAGATGCATATAACTCAGACATATTGGTTAGTTTACACCCGTACCACGTTTGCAAATATGCTGGTAAAAGTGGCTCTTGTCGTGATCCATCAAATGTAGAAAGTGCAGTCTTTACGGACTTAAAGTTGGTTTCAATGTCTCTCTTCAGAACATCAAGATAGAGACACCCATTAAAATAACTGAGAACTTTCTAGGAAAGAGAATAGAAAACAATATATATTATGGCTGATGCGTTGTATCAAGACTGCTAGAAAACAGACTTACAAACTTCTAATATGCTGCAAAACACAGTTTAAGTAATCTATGATCCTGTATTCCTTCCACAGATGGAGGGCAATAATGTTGGGATGTGGTATTTATAAACAACAGGAGGGCAGGGGATGGCTGACAGCTAGCGATGGCATGAAGGGTACATTAAGGCATTGGGCATTAAGGCTGAACTAAACCCAATGTGCTTATAAAGAAAATTACATGTCTGCTTTTATGAATAATTTCCTGCCACCATTTTTTATGTTGAAATGTATGCATTGTAAATACATTACCAATCATTTCTATGTAATGCACATTGTTAAAGAAAACATACAATATTTCAATTGCTTTTTTATTTTTCCAATACACGTAATACTAAAAACAGGAAGATTAGAGTGGTTCTATTTAAATGAATAGTACTTAAAGTGGTTGTAAACCTCAGACATGAAGTATGAACAAATCATATCCCTCTATAGTGTGTACTTGCAGGGGCATATTTGCCGCGAGGCAAACTAGGCATTTGCCTAGGGCAGCACTTTTCAGGGGGGCAGTACAGCGGCAGTGCTGCCCACCCTTTCCCACGGAAAGGACACTTCTGTGAGAAAGGGACAGGGGCAGGGCCGCCATGGCTGAGGGACCGGCTGCAGAGGAGAGCGGAGTGGTGGGCGGATCCCCGGTGTGCACTCGGAGCGCGTGAGGGGCGGGGCCCACTGTCACTGTGCCGGGATCTGCAGGAAGGCCAGAAGGTGCCGCGAAGGAGGAAGCAGAAGAGGACGAGGTCAGGGGGGCGGAGCAGCTGCCGCCGGAGATCATGGGGGAGAAGGGACACAGGCACAGGAATGATCCTAGAATATAAAAGATGCGGCGCTATATCACAAATATTATTATGCAAAAACGTCCAAGATATCAATATATAGTGATTAGGTGACTAATGTGATCACAAACATTATGTCACAAGCAGAGTAAGTAACATGTAGTGCAAAATAAACAGTCTAAGTGACAATCCCTCTCCTTCGAAGTGCTTCTTCCATGCAGTGATAGTGAGAAGGGTAAGGCTGTGCACTCACCAGATTAAGGCTGTGCACTCACCAGATGCACAGTGTAACTGCGCATTTAGAGATAAATTTTCTCTACTGGATCCACTGGTAGCTCCTAAAGGTCAGGTCAGGCCAGGTATTCCTCCCCCCGCTGGATGTTGCTGACAATCCACGGTCTCCCTTTTGGGTGGCTCTATAGGTGATGAGTGACTCACCCATTTCATTTCTGTTCAGAGGTCTTCACACTCCTGTATTAACTCATTCTTAGCTTCCTCACTAATCTAGATCAGGGGGTAATTTGTGTTGATAAGAGGACATATGCCGTGCAAGCAGCTCTGTCTCTTTGAGAAGTGTATCCAGCTTGTCCTCCACCTGGACAGGTAAGTGCTTGGAGGACTGGTGCTCCCTCGGTCCTGTCTCACTGTCCCCTGATACACTGCCCCCCACCTGTTCTACTTCCCTCCCCCATACCATTTGCTCTCCATCCATCACACTGCTGCCCCCACATGTCACCCTGCCCCACACCTGTTCCACTTCCCCCTTCTGTCCCCCACATTGTCCCACTACCACCCATCTGTCCCCACTACCACCCATCTGTCCCCACTGCCCCCCACCTGTCCCTCTGTGCTCCTCCTGTCCATCTGCCCCTCACCTGTCCCTCTGCGTTCCTCCTGTGCAGCTGCCCCAATCCTGTCCCATGCCCCCTGTCACGCTGCCCCCCACCTATCCCTCTGCGCTCCTCCTGTCCATCCATGCCCCTCACCTGTCCCTCTGCGCTCCTCCTGTCCCACTGCCCCCCACCTATCCCTCTGCGCTCCTCCTGTCCTCTGTCCCTCTCCTGTCCCACTGCGCTCCTCTCCTGTCCCACTGCCCCTCATCTGTCCCACTGCGCTCCTCCTGTCCCACTGCCCCTCACCTGTCCCACTGCGCTCCTCCTGTCCCACTGCCCCTCACCTGTCCCACTGCGCTCACCTCCTGTCCCACTGCCCCTACCTGTCCTCCCCCCCTGTCCCTGCCCCCCCCCCTGTCCCCCTGCCCCCCCCCACGCTGCCCCCCCCCCCCATCTGTCCCTCTGCACCTCCTGTCCCACTGCCCCTCACTGTCCCACTGCGCTCCTCCTGTCCCACTGCCCCTCACCTGTCCCACTGTGCTCCTCCTGTCCCACTGCCCCTCACCTGTCCCACTGCCCCCCACCTATCCTTCTGCCTCCTCCTGTCCCACTGCCCCTCACCTATCCTTCTGCGCTCCTCCTGTCCCTCTGTGCTCCTTCTCCTGCCCCACTGCCCCTCACCTGTCCCACTGCCCACTGAGCTCCTGTCCCACTGCCCCTCACCTGTCCCACTGCCCCTCACCTGTCCCACTGCCCCTCACCTGTCCCATGCCCACTGTCCCGCTGCCTCCTCCTGTCCCTGCACTGCCTCCCTGTCCCACTGCCCCGCACCTATCCTTCTGCGCTTCTCCTGTCCCAATGTGCTTCTCCTGTCCCGCTGCCCCGATCCTGTCCCATGTCCCCCTGTCCACGCTGCCCCCTCCTACCTGTCCCTCTGCGCTCCTCCTGTCCAGCTGCCCCTGATACTGTCCCATGCCCCCTGTCACGCTGCGCTCCCTGTCCCACTGCCCCTCACCTACCCTTCTGCGCTCCTCCTGTCCCACTGCGCCTCCTGTCTGCTCCCTCTGCCTGTCCCATCCTCCTGTCCCACTGCCCCTCACCTGTCCCACTGCGCTCCTCCTGTCCCACTGCCCCTCCTGTCCCACTGCCCCTCCCTGTCCCATGCGCTCCTCCTGTCCCACTGCCCCTCACCTGTCCCACTGCCCCCTCCTATCCTTCTGCCTCCTCCTGTCCCACTGCCCCTCACCTATCCCACTGCGCTCCTCCTGTCCCTCTGTGCTCCTCCTGTCCCACTGCCCCTCCCCTGTCCCACTGCCCTCCCCTCCTGTCCCTCTGCCTCCTCCTGTCCCACTGCCCCTCCCTGTCCCACTGCGCTCCTCCTGTCCCACTGCCCCTCACCTGTCCCACTGCCCTCCTCCTGTCCCATTGCCCCTCACCTGTCCCACTGCGCTCCTCCTCCCCCACTGCCCCTCACTGTCCCTGCCTCCTCCTGTCCCTGCACTGCTCCTCCTGTCCCACTGCCCCCTCACCTGTCCCCTCTGCTCCTCCTGTCCCACTGCCCCTCACCTGTCCCATGCCCTCACCTGTCATGCTGCCCCCCCTCCTGTCCCTCTGCGCTCCTCCTGTCCCATTGCCCCTCACCTGTCCCTCTGCGCTCCTCCTGTCCCACTGCCCCTCACCTGTCCCACTGCGCTCCTCCTGTCCCACTGCCCCTCACCTGTCCCACTGCGCTCCTCCTGTCCCACTGCCCCTCCACCTGTCCTTCTGCACTCCTCCTGTCCCACTGCCCCTCACCTGTCCCACTGCCCCCACTGTCCCTTCTGCCTCCTCCTGTCCCACTGCCCCTCACCTGTCCCATCTGCCCCCCCCTGTCCCTCTGCACTCCTCCTGTCCCACTGCCCCCTCACCTATCCTTCTGCGCTCCTCCTGTCCCTCTGTGCCCTCTCCTGTCCCACTGCCCCTCCCCTGTCCCACTGCGCTCCTCCTGTCCCACTGCCCCCCACTGCCCCACCTGTCCTTCTGCTGCGCTCCTCCTGTCCCACTGCCCCTCACCTGTCCCACTGCGCTCCTCCTGTCCCACTGGGCTCCTCCCTGTCCTCTGTGCGCCTTCTCCTGTCCCATTGCCCCTCACCTGTCCCACTGCGCTCCCCTGTCCCACTGCCCCTCACCTGTCCCTCTGCGCTCCTCCTGTCCCACTGCCCCTCACCTGTCCTTCTGCGCTCCTTCTGTCCCTGCCCCCCACCTATCCTTCTGCACTTCTCCTGTCCATGCCCCCCCGTCACGCTGCCCCCTAAATGTCCCTCTGTGCTCCTCCTGTCCAGCTGCCCCGATACTGTCTCATGTCCCCAGTCACGCTGCCCCCCACCTGTCCCTCTCCTGTCCCACTGCCCCTCACACTTCTCCTGTCTGCGCTTCTCCTGTCCCACTGCGCTTCTCCTGTCTCGCTGCCCCGATTCCTGTTCTATGCCCCCCTCCCGTCCCCCCCTCACGCCCCCTACCTGTCCCTCTGCGCTCCTCCTGTCCCACTGCCCCTCACTTGTCCCACTGCGCTCCTCCTGTCCCACTGCCCCTCACTTGTCCCAGGGGCGTATTTGCCACGAGGCAAACAAAGCATTTGCCTAGGGTGGCACTTTTCAGGGGGGCGGCACGGCGATGTAAGTATAATTGGTGTCAGTGGGAGTAACAGGGGGAGGAATAGTGCCCCTCATTGGTGTCAGGGGGAGGAATAGTACCCCATCATTGGTGTCAGTGGGAGGAATAGTGCCCCATCATTGGTGTCAGTGGGAGGAATAGTGCCCCATCATTAGTGCCAATGGGAGGAATCGTACCCCATCATTGGTGAAAGTGGGAGGAACAGCACCCCATCGGTGTCAGTGGGCAGAGCTCTAATAGTAAGAGGTGGAGCCTAAAGAGGAAGGGGTGGAGTTTGCAGATGAAAGAGTGGGACAAATTTAGATGCAGGGGGTGTGTCTTGCCTAGGGCAGCACAAAACCAAAATACACCACTGTGTACTTGTCTCAATTAGGAGCACTAAGTGTCACTTCTGTTTGCTGACTCATTCCTCTGCCATTAGCATGCATCACTTCTGACCAATTTTCCTGACACCAAGAGGAAAATGGTGACAGGGCAGGGACCTCCAGCAGATTGACAGCCTAAGCTCTGTTCCTGTGAGCTGTGTGGAGGAGGGGGGTGTCCCTTCCCTCCAATCAGCTCCCAGATCTCTCCTCACTGAGCTCTGCAGAGTGTAATTTCAACTCTCTGCCCCCTTTTTTCTGAACTCTCAGGCAAGCTGTATAAATTCAGTGCTATGCACAGATGTAGAAAACAGAGTGCTACAGATAAATAGGTACAACTTCTGTAGGTAATTGAGAATTCAATTTTCAGCCCTGGGTTTTAAATCTTTCCTCAAGGATAAAGATGTGAGTTTCCTAATCTCACTTTTGAGTGGTTAAAGGGCATATTTGTTAAACAATTTGCAGAGATTATTGCCCTGTGTGAATAGGATCAACACAAAATGTTATAAGCTCTGTTCTCTCTGGGCCAAATGTTATTAATTCAAAATAAATAGATTGGTGTTGGAAAATACTACATTATAGCCACTAGACGGAACATACAATCATAGTAAACACATATTTATTTACTTTGCATCAGCTCTAGCTATTGGCCATAATGCTGTATTTTCCTGGTTCATGATATTTTGTATGAATGAATAGCATTTGATCTGAAAAGGAAATAGCCTAGTAATATTAGATTCGCCCCCATTCACATTGGGCGAATTTACATGCAGTTTCACAAGACAAAATAGCTCTGACAATTTTATGCAAGTACACGCCTAGGTGTGACAATCATGCTGTTGTTATTATGCTATACATTTATACCTTAGGAAAAAAAACAAAACAAGAAAATAAAATATATACACATTTGCATAACAGCATATATGAAGGAAACTGTAAGAATGACTGGTTTACTACTGCAGATTGGCATTGTAAAAGACTGTAATATTGTACAATCAGATGGCAGGCTTAAAGAGTAACCCCACTTTTGTTAAATAAAAAACAAACCCCTGTAGGTGATCAATGTACTTTGTAGAGATTTTAACAAACTCTGTAGCACATTCCTACCTATTGTTGCTGTGAAGAAATAGCTGTTTCTTTAACCATGTCCTTTTCAGACTAATTCTGAATGGGAGGGTCTGGGCAATTATAATCAGCTGGTGCACTCTCAGTGTTCTAATGAGAAAAGTTGCAGGGTTTGCATCCCTTAAAAGTAATTAACCCTTAGGGAGTATCTCACCAAAAATGAAATTCCTATTGCAGAGATGCCTACAATTTAACATGACAATTACATTTCTGGGTGTGTTCTATACCAAACACCTCCAGGTTTCCACATTGCATTGCATTTCTACAGAAAAATGCAGAGCTGCAGATTGAAAAGGAAAGGTCATTTTTAATAACATTACGAAATGGCTTATGTAGCAATTGTATGTACTATATTATTTTTTTTTATTATTTGCTATATTATTTTCCACACAAGTGGGGATATCCTTTAAGTCTACTAACAAATGCATTAGGTCAAATCAGCCCTGATTTCAAAACAACTTTATGGTGGGGATTAATGTCAATAGGCATGCTTGCTAAGCAACTTACATAGAGCACTGACAACTGATGGGCTACATATTTATGGCTTCCTAGGTGCTTCACATCATCCTCCAGCTGTTGGCTCAAAACCAGAAGCTGATTAAGTTTTCCTATGTGAGCAAAGTAATCTGTGTGGAAATAAACAAAATGAGGCAATAAGCAAAGGTTCGGTACAGACAGTTTATTGGCATAAAAATACAATCCCTATGATCTAGTATTTACTTGTAATTAAGTGTTCTTGCATGGCAAGACCACTTACTGTTATCTCACATATATATTCTTATTATTATAGCCAAATTTACCACCCTAACTCCTCCCACAGTTTTTACACTACATAGACAGTAATATATCGAAACGTGCGGATTGTTCCCGATTGGTGTGCTACTACTTTGTGGAACGTTTCGCCGAATGGTTCACGAAATATCAGGGTTTTTGTGGTGAAATTGGTTCCATAGGAATGAATGGCGGAATGTTCAAAACTAGAGTGGGAGCTGACAAAAGCTAGAGTGGGAGCTGAAAAATCAGGACATGATTTCTAAACTGCCATCACTCCCTCATTTTCAAGCCCACCTACACAAATCTAATATCAAAACGTTCACTGCTGCCACTAAAAATGTCCACGGCTAAGCCATAGTCCTGATAGGTTTCACAATATGACCATTTGTTTGCAACTCACGCCGCCCATTGACATTGTAGACTACTGGTGGAGGCAAGAACACTTCACACAGTTTCCCCAGAAATTGTAGCTTTTCTAGTTATATTTTGATATTTTATTGTTATTTTGGAAATTAGATGTTTTTAATTATTCTGCATCTCACCATCCATTGGAGGGCTCTCCAAAATATCAACTGGCCTTTCATAGATGATATATACTTCCACCCTTGGAAAAAGGAGAGATAAACCTGAAGTGTCCAGATAGTCCTACAATAGACAAGGAGATAAGAGCATTAACTTTACAGTATAGAAAAGAAAATTATTTTTACTATTACTTTTATAACAATAATAGTTTTAACGATAACGATACTATGCAGGAATTTTGAATTTGTATTGCACGATGCCCGGGAAATGTAGTGCCGGGCGCTGGGCAGGAAGTTTTTTTCAACCTTTAGCCCTGCTGTGGGTAAGCAGCAGGGCTTACCTGTCAGGTGACAGCATTCGGGCGGCTGCGCTGCCGCCCGATTGCTTTCACACAGCTCACTACCAGCCTCTGCCCCCTCCCTTGCAAACCTCCCCCCACCCCTTATGTCTGCCGGGCTCCGCTTGCCCATCTGCGGGCCTGGGACTGGTTCAGAGTGCACCAGCGGCTAGAAGGGAGAGAGGAGAGTGGACACGTCCACTCCTCTCCTCTTCTTGCCTGACCCAGATCTGATTACGACATCACTTCCGGGTCCCCGTTCACAGATTTCCCAATCATTGAGGTTGTATTGAGATGGTTAAATACGGTTTGGGTTTAAATTTTTCATTTTTTTAATCTGGGCAAGTAGATTGTCATGCAGTACAATTAGATTGAGGACCCAGATTTAGTCCCTGGACAAGTGTTTTTTTCCAAAATGTCCACACCCCTGCTATGTGAAAATTACTTCATGCTTTATGGTGTGTGTTTTGTTGAAGCACTGGGTTCAGGTTTGTTTGAAGACTACACACCCCAATTTGATATTGTCATGGATTGGATGAACAAAAATTGGACATACAGTATTTGCCCCCTTCCTGATTTTTTTTTTTTTTTTCATATTTGTCATACTTAAATGATTTAGATCATGAAACAAATTTTAATATTGCACAAAGATAACCCGAGTAAATACAAAATGCAAAACATAATTGTCTCCCCCCACTCTCTTGCTAAATCATGAATGAACTGTGATTAACAACTTTTTTTGGAAAGCGGAGTTAAATTTCACTTGCCATACCCAGGCCTAATTACTGCCAGACCTGTTGAATCAAAAATAACTTAAATAGAAGCTGTCTGACAAAACAAAGCACACTAAAACAAATCTCAAAAGGGAACACATCGTGCCGCAATCTAAAGAAATTCAAGAACAGATGAGAAATAAAATAATTGACATGTATCAGTCTGGAAACAGTTACAAAGCCATTTCTAAGGCTCTGAGACTCCAGCGAACCACGGTGAGAGCCATTATCCACAAATGAAGAAAACTTGGAACAGTGGTGAACCTTTCCTACAAAAATTACTCCCCAGAGCACAACAGCGACTCATCCAGGAGGTCATAAAAGAACCCAGAACAACATCTAAAGAACTGCAGGCCTCATTTGCCTCAATTAAGGTCAGTGTTCATGGTTCAACAGTAAGAAAGAGACAAAAATGGCATCCATGGGAGAGCTCCAAGGCAAAAGCCACTGCTGACCATAAAGAACATAAAGGCTCATTTCACATTTGCTAAAAAAATCTTGATTATCCCTAAGACTTTTGGGCAAATATTTTGTGGACTAATGAGACAAAAGTTGAGCTTTTTGGAAGGTGTGCATCCCGTTACATCTGGCATAAAATGAACACCGCATTTCATAAAAAAAACATCATACCAACAGTAAAACATGGTAGTGGTAATGTGATAGTCTGGGGCTGCTGTGCAGCTTCAGGATCTAGATGACTTGCCATAATTGCCATAAATGATGGAACCATGAATCCTGCACTCTACCAGAAAATCCTGAAGGAGAATGTCTGGACATCAGTCCGTGATCTCAAGCTCAAGCACACTTGGGTTATGCAGCAGGACAAAATAACAAAACAAAATTAAGGTTTTGGAGTAGCCTATTCAAAGAGCAGAATTAAATCCAATTGAAATGCTGTGGTATGACTTTAAACAGGTTGTTCATGCTTGAAACCCCTCTGGCTGAATTCAAACAATTTTACAAAGTAGAGTGGGCCAAAATTCCTCCACAGCTACATGAAAGACTCATTGCCAGTTATCTCAAATGCTTGATTGCAGTTGTTGCCACCAAGTGTGGCGCAACCAGTTATTATCTTTAGGGGGCAATTACTTTTTTACATAGGACCAGGCAGGTTTGGACAGCTTTCTTCCCCTTAATAAATGAAATCAACATTTAAAAACTGCAATTTGTATTTACTTTGGTTATCTTTGTGTAATAATAAATTTTGCTTGATAACACTGTTCAACAGGTAAAAAGTTTTGGGCATAAAATTAGCTAATCTTACATAATTTTGGGGTGCTGAAAACTAAAATGACCCTAAAAAATGTTGATTGGCTCTAGTTTCCATGATATATTCACCCATCTAATGACGTAAGCCATTCAAAATTATGATGCAACTGCAGCTGCATATTGCGCAATTGATACTGGTGACCAATAGAAAATTGCATGTATACTGAGATGATGCAATATTAGCCTTTAATTGCATCACTTCACTGTATAAAAGCTGCAGTATCTGTAGCTGATTGTAGTTCGACAGCGTCTTTACATTTCGTTTTATGCTTATATAGGCTACTCAGTAATGCCTCGAACTTGTGTGAATAAAGCAGATAATTTCTGCTATATCTGCGGTGAAATAACTTTTATCTCACAAAAAAGGAGGATAACAGGAATGATTAAGAAAGCCTACAACTTGTATTTTGGCTGCAAGATAGGAGACCAGGACAAGAGCTGGGCACCACATATATGCTGCAATTCTTGTGGGACGGCACTGGAGCAATGGTTGAATGGAAAAAAGGCATCTATGCCTTTCGCTGTGCCAATGATTTGGAGAGAGCCAACAGATCATGTTAGTAATTGTTACTTTTGTATGGTGCCTCCAATTGTAAAAGGGCTAAATAAGAAGAAAAAGTTATCTGTGCACTATCCAAATATTCCATCGGCAATACGTCCAGTTCCTCATGGAGAGGGGCTACCAATTCCTAAAGCACCAGAATCCTTCGTGGTTGAGTCCAGTGAAGAAGAACCTGAAGCGTGTAGTCACGTGCAGTTGTAAGAGATAGCCCTTTCCTCGAATACAAGAGAAAAGCCAAGAGAAGCAAAACCGACACAAACTGAAGACAAAACTAGTGAGAATCCTAAGTATTAAAATGATTCAACTTAGCTTATGGCTATAATTTTTCTTGGTAATCCTATGCAATATATTATGCCATTTAGGCTTTGTTATGTAGTCAATATCACTTGCTTTATATTTGTGGAAAGACATCTATCTATATAATTATTGTGCATTATGTAGTCATTACGCCTATAGTAGAAAACTTTCCGTTTACAGAAAAACTAGAGCCAATTGACAAATTTCATTGTTATATTTGAACTCAGAATGTGAAATTCATTAAGAAATGCATCCTTTTGTTTCCAAAACTGGCAAAAAATAAAAATTTGTTGAACAGTGTAATCTGAATCTTTTAAATGTGACAAAAATTCTGAAAGGGGGAAAATACTTTTTCACAGCGCTGTATATTAGTTAGAAGGAGTTGTATTTCTCATTGTCTTCCATAAAGGCCAAACTCAATCCACAGCGTTTTTTTTTATAGTTTATATAAAGTCAAGTTATAGGTCAGTCTTTTTTAATTGCTGTATGAGTTCCCAAATGGTGGTATTCATCTCCACATCTTGATATGTTTGCATCTCTATCAGGGACATATTTTATTGTCACCAGTAAAGGAAGAGAGGGATAGTCTCTTCAATAGGGACATATATGGCAATAATATCTGGCCAATGTTCTAACCCTACTTCAACCAAAATTTAAACAAATGCTTGCACACTTGAAGAACTGTTTGGTTTAAACCATAGTAACCAATCAGATTTAAGCTTGTGGTGATAGCTTAAAAACGCTTATTTTACAGGCACCTGATTTTTAAAAAAAAAATTTCTGTCAGCCTGTAAAAGCACCTCTATGTAAGCCTATGTGGCCATGCACATGTAGATGTTTGCAGGCATATTAAAAGAGGAGCGTTTAGAGCCTGCAAAAAAAAAAACAAAAATCACTTTCTGAATGCGCCAAAACGTGCAAAATGTGCATGTTTTCTAAGCTGTCTTCTTCTAGAAGCAAAGGTGGAAAAAATGTTCTGTGTGCATTAGGCCTTAGTTCTGAAATGTTTTCAGATGTTTACTACACAGGACAGTTGTTTGTTTTACTAATGCAGACAGAGAAACAATTCAACAATAATATCATTAGTATTATTTGAATGCAGTCAGTGTTTTGCTCTTTTGCTTTTAAGAAGAAATAGAAACATTTTTTTGGTCTATTCAGTTAATCTTTACCTCTAGGCATGGCGTTGGTTCAGGTAAATGGGTCAAACACTCTTTCATTCTTTCAAGAAGTTCTGAACCTAAACAAAAGTAAGGATTACTCATTTGTGATTTATTTGGTTTGTACATTCAAAAGAAGGAATAAGCAGGTGGTAGAGACACAATTTTAGCATTCCCAAACCAATCATCTAAACACACAAATTCAGCCGCTCAGGGCTATACACATGCCATGGCCGTTACACCTAGCTTTGCTGCTGTGGAAAACGGCATGTTGCATTCAGCAAGCGGTACTGATGCTGAATGCAACTCATTCAATTGAATAGGGCTGCACTGTGACTGGCCTGCAACTTGCATGCAGTTGAAGTGCAGTGGGTCAGCATTTTGAGAGTTAAAAGATGCAGTGAGGAATGGGAGTTTCTGGCTTCGACATTCGGCCATGCGCTGAGAAATGGAAATTAGGCAGCTGGATGGATCCCAACAATATGGTCGGAACCCTTCCAGAGCCTGGAGCGGCTCTGTGACATCAGCTAGTAGCAGGCTTTAGCCCGCTGTCAGCTGATTTTGGACTGAGAGTCTTTGCCATGCCAGTCAGGCATCTGAGTGGATTCTGACATTATTGTCAGGATCTTTTCAGAGACTGGACCTGCTCTGTGACATCAGCCAACAGTGCACTCCTGTGATCCAGAAGAAATGTATGGTAAAAAAAAGCTTTGGCCATACTTCTCTTTTTAAAAAACTCCATTGCCAAGAAATGCACCTGTATGTAGCAAACTTTAATTCACAATCTAGGTTTATTATCTAGATATCTAGATTTATATGCTTCTGTAACTTATCAGATATCTTTCCAAAATGAAGGCTGGGTAAGACATGGAGGAATGTCTATTAGAGAATCACAGGCAATAAAACAATGACTCGCATTCAATGGTATCACTGTTTGCATGAGACCCAATAAAATGTTCTCCTCAACTTGGTAGATACTGTAGATGTGAACATTGCAAGAGTAACACTGCACTCTGGTTTAAAAAAAAAAAGTTCTATTTCGGTATGTATTCTTAACTCAAAAAGTACCTTCTATTGCTCTCAGTCTCCTCCAGATCTCTAAATTCATTTGTTTTTGCTGCTGTGATCTGACTTTCTGTTAAACGGTGGGTACATTTTTTCTCCATGGTTCCACTGTATGTAGGAATATAGGGCCTCCGATAGGGGGATACCGCCCCTCCTTCTGTAGGAGGCCTGGGCACACAAGGGGGCTCAGACAGCAGGGGGATCGGTGTGGCATGGGGAAGGGGGGGGGGGTAATTGCAGAATGATGCCCTGTGCGACTCTCTTCAGCAGCTGAAAGCCAGTTTCTCCCCCTTTCCCTCCCACCGGCTTTCAACTGCTGGAGGGAAAGACTCAGACACAAGGCATCATTCTGTACTTGTCCCCTTGTCCCACCACACCGATCCCCCTCCCTGTGCTGTCCAAATATGATTCCCCCTGTGTTTCCAGGCCCCTCCTCAGATTTAGCAGGAATTTTGTAAGTTATGTTATGTTTGTGTTCACTAATAATGATTTTTGTGTATTTTTTTTTTTAAATATAGTTTTGATATTTTAGGGGGGGGGGGGCTGTCAGGTAGGCTGTATGGGGCCCCTTGATTTCTAATAGCAGCCCTGTAGAGATTTAGCCACCTCTCTTGCTCACTCCTGTGATAGACTATGAACTATGGGATTGTGATGGACTACGAAATATGGGTGTGCATAGAGTGACTGCAACTAAAGTGCACTGCTTGTTCCAAACAAATAGAAATGAGAGGGTAAAGGACAGGTTCAGACACCTATGAAGGACATTACAATGAGGCAGAAAAACACAGCAGGAAACAATTTAATGAAAAACAGATTACAGGGCCATTAAGTAGTGGATGTGTATGGATTATATTTGGAGAATAAGGAAATAATTTTCCCCTTTTCTCTACATTTAGGCCCCTTTCAGAAGGGGTGAACCTGTCAGCGGATCAGCCTGCTCAGCGGGGCATCTCTCCGCTGATCCCCGCTGAGCAGGTGGATGACAGGTCTGTGTCCACTCTGCTGCTGCAGAACGGACACAGACACTGCCGGCTGTCTTCTATGGGGCGGCCGGATGGCAACAGACCTGAAATATGTTAGAAATTCTTCCCTGAAGTGTTCTGTGTACTTGTAGCTTGATCAGAGACACACTTTAGAATGGTTGCTTGAAGAAACATTTAATTTCCTGCCGACGGGTACAAACTTGAAAAATATCACATTTTTAAATTTAACTCACCCAATGTGTGAAATATGTCAGACTCTCCAAAGCTTATATCATCTGCAACTTGTTCTTGAAGCTGGTCAGAAAAATAGGCAGTGTTACTTTGAAAATAAATATTTCTATATTACCTGTCAGTTCACAGATCTCAACCTGTTTTGAGAAATCTTTTATTGTGTGTCAAAAGAAATTTGTCAGTAACACGCTATACAAAGTCATCTTTTCTTTTGTTTGCTTTATGACCTGTCATGTTTCAGGTTACCTGTAGCAACCAGAATTGTGGCTGTTAGAATACCTGAACAGTGCCTGCGTCTAATTGGATACAGCCACTGTTTGGTTGACAATTTTGCACTCGGTTTTCACTTGGTTCCTTTAACATAAGCCCTACAGGGGCACCCATGGCTCAAATCAAGCTTTGTATGGCAGCCTTAATGCTGAAGTTTAGGTATGGCAATGCAATGCAGCAGAGCAGCTGCTCAGCATGGGACCCGGAATCTAGTAGAGATCACCTTAATAGCAGTGCCCACTACAGTAATTTCCAGCTTCAACATGGATCCCACAGTTATGGCACATACTGTACGTACTTACAGTACATTGGTTCAAGCTGGACCAATGTAACTGAAATTGCCAAATCTGGAATTCAGATTGCCATATCTGGTATGATCCTGCTGATAGGTGGTGTGCAGTGCTGAGTTATAGATGTACACTCATTCTCACATCACCATTAGTAACTACATTTGTTCTCTTAGAATTATTAAATCAGAGAGAATAGCGTTTTTTAAACCATTAAATGTGCAGATGTTATTTGAATAGATACCTACCTATTCTAGTTTGCATTTATTTATTATCTATTTTGTTAAGCCCTTATAATATATTTGATATTTTATCTCAGTCATGTCATCATATTTATGAAATTATATTTATCATTTTTTAAGACCAATTTATTTTTTTCACTAAACAAGTATCAGACCCCGATCTTATGAGTTGTTCCCAAGTATCATCTTGTTTCTATTTGGTTTAAAGCTTATGTATAACCTTTTTATGTTTTGGATAAAATATGAAAGGACTAGAACCTCTGCCATATTTTTATTTCTGTCTGTGTTCCTGCTAGTTATTTGTCCTTGGTGACTTCTGTCACCAAGTCAGAAAGTGATAGGAAATCCAAAATGTTAGTGTTGTCCCCAGAGCAAGAAGTGAGGGTAGATCTTCCAATGGGCACACCTTTTTCAGTGCCAGTTGTCTAAGAGGGAAATGCCCCTAATTTTTTAGAGATTTGCTCTAACTTCCTGCTCTGTCTCTGGGATAGGATGCAAAGAGAAATCTCCCAGAGGAGACAGAAGTAGCAAATATTTTAAGCCTTCCTTACTCTTTAAAAAAAAGGTTGGGGTGATACATACACTTTAATATTTAATATTATACATTATATAAGATGGGTTGTCAACAGTGTCATTATAAGGTATTTTTGGCCACTCTGTTTTTTCTTCTCTGCAGAGACAATTTTGAGCAATGACCTTACTCTGTTTGAGAATGCTGGGTCTAATGGATCAGCTTAGATCCATAACTATTTATTTATTATTTATTTCAATACTTATATAGCGCCGTCAATTTACACAGCGCTTTACACATATATATTTTACATTCACACCAGTCCCTAACCCTCAAGGGGTGTACAATCTAAGGTCCCTAACTTACATTCATACACATATTAGGGCCAATTTAGACAGGATCCAATTAACCTACAAGCATATCTTTGGAGTGTAGGAGGAAATCGGAGTACCCGGAGGAAACCCACGCAAGCACAGGGAGAACATGCAAACTCCAGGCAGGTGGTGCCATGGTTGGGATTCGAACCAATAACCCTAGTACTGCCAGGCGGAAGTGCTTACCATTTAGCCACTGTGCTGCCCTATGGGCTTCTATACCTAACACAGCCATTAAACTATATATGATTAAATACTGTAAGTCTGAATATGTGCATGCAATAAAATAGTTTTCCTTTTTTCCTCTTTTATTGAATCAAATGTTACTCACCTGCTGTACTTCACCTCGGATAACTATATCAAGCTGTGAACAGAGTGAAAACATCTCCAGAGCTACCTGCTTGCAGCTCATTTGTATTGGCCACAAAGGTTTCTTCACATTGACCGTCACTATGAAATGAGCAAAAAAAAATAAAAAATGGCAATAAAAACATACATTTATTAACCCACAGAGTAATTTATCAAGCTTGGGTTTATAGAGTGTAAGTTCCTGTGAGAAGCTGAAAATGGCCATTGAATGGTAGACCTGAGGACAAGCTGGAAGCAAATATATATATATATATATATATATATGTATGTATATTTATTTATGATATATATGTATTGAACAAGAAAGGGAAACAAAGATATGCATTATATATATATATATATATATATATATATATATATATATATATATATATATAAAAAAATTTGTGCTCACTGACAGATGATATACAATATCATGACAGATGACATACAAAACTGGTTTTATTTAAATCTTAAGAAGTGATTGTATATTCTTCCTGATTCTCTAATAAATCTAATTCCATTAATAGCATTACTTGCCCATTGCTTTGTTCTGCAGACATAAAGAGGCATAACTAACAACACTAAGAGCAATCCCTGCACTGTACACAACATGCAGACCTGCACCAATACCCTACCTTTACTACGTGAATGGTAGAGGCACGGCTGGCGCAGAGGCTGAGATTGACTCACAGCAGCCATCCTTACATAATCCACCAAGCATAGGGAGGATTCTTCTAAAAGCTGAGATTTCTGCAGCGTACAAGGCATGCAGTGTCTATTTTAGCTTCAGGGATGTGGAAACAGCAGAATGATGCTAACTGGATTCTGCTCAGCCAATAGCAGCTGCTCTTTGAAAAGGATGTGCAGACAGCATGCTCTATTAAACAATGCATGAAAAGCTGCAAAAACACAGTGGAGGATGCATAGGGGACTATGATTGTTATCTAATGACCTGAAAGCATCCAGAGGTAACTCCCAGAATCTACAAATCCCTCTGTACGCTCAGTTTACTTGTTTTAAAGCTATCTGATAATTACCATAAAAATGGTCAGTGATCTGCATTAAATAATTGTTATTTTTAACAAGACAATGGGAGTAATTACTAAAGAGATGTTTTTTTTACTTAGCCCAAAAAAATGTGTCTTGATCACCCAACTTTATGCAAAGGAATTTGAAATGAAGGTATTTCCTTTGCATATAATTAAATGTGTGGATGGAATAAGAAAAATGTACTCCATATGTTCTGCAGTACCCGATAGCAACCAAACTGTGCAGTGTCCATGAAGCGACCTCCTGTGTGCACAATTGCTGCAGGAGAGCCACTCAGCAGGGAGCCAAAAGCTAGTGAAAATCAGTTTAGTAGGTGCCTACTACAGTAATTTCCAGCTTCTACACCAGTGGTTGTCAACATATGTGCTTAGGGGGGGCTCAAATGCAACCCCTGACATCACCAAAGAGCTGCATATAATGTTCAATATGTGTAATACTTGAGAGGACTGTCAAAAACTGCAGACCTAATAAGGAAAATGAGGGTCCAAAAGTGTGGACATGCTGCATTTATGTCTGGAGATATGCTACAGAAGACAATGCAAAACTGGGAACACGAGACTAATAGAGATCATTGCTATTACCCTAATCAATGTTCCCACTACAGACTGCTAAGGTCCAGGGGCTGCACATCATATACTAAAGGGCCGTATGCAGCTTTTGGGCCGCAGATTGGGCACCAGGGTTCTAGAGAGATCCCATAGGTATAGCACATACATACTTACATTGGTCCAAGCTGGATCAATATAACAATGTAAAAATTGGGAAAATTGGCATATCTAACCTCCAGCTTTAAGAAAACCCTGCCATGTGAACATAAAAATGTATGCTCCTCCCACTGACCCCTACATCACTTAAAGTGGTTGTCCAGTCATAATGTAAAAAAATAAAAGTCAGCAGCTACAAAAACTGTAGCTGCTGACTTTTAAAAAACGGACACTCCAGACAAACCTGTCCCTCAATCCAGTGGTGTCCACACACCAGCCAAGTTCACCAACCATCCTGTGTGTCCGGTGCCGGCATCTTCAGCGTGGGCACCTGGCTGTGAAGCCGCAAGCTGTGCCCACTGCGGATGCACGTGTAGCGCTGCGCTTTGTGAATGGTCCCATAGTCTTCTGGGACCTGTCACGTGTCCCAAAAAACTATGGGGATGGAGGGAACAACTTCCACTTCTGATTGCTAGACGATCACAGCGGAAGTGGGAGTGGGTACCTGTCAAATTCGGGTAGCCCCCACACTTCCCAAAGGTGCCGATCCTTAACAGGGAGCGGGGGACAAGGACTTAAAGCGGAACTTCCTCTTTTGGGTGGAGCTCCGCTCTAAGGACACAGTAGTGACATACCAAGACTCTGACACTGCTGGAATTGACAGTTTCTAAAGAATAATTCCTTATAGAAGTAAGTATTTACTAGCTTCTTAGTAAGGAACAGGCGAATTGGCACTTTTGTTTTAATGACCATGTCCTATCCCCGTGTTTACAGGTACTGCCTCCAGAAATGAAAGTGACATTAAAGTAGAACTATAGGCAATTTTTTATCATTATGGATAGAGCAAGGTCAAGTTATAACCCCCACCATCTGTGTCCCATTGCGGAGAGTTCCCTTCATTTCCTGCCTCACAGCCAAACAAGAAGTGAGAGGAAATCCCTGCAAAGTAAGGGAATTCCTTGGCGTCCCCCAGGTCACCAGAACTAGTGTCCCCATTTAAAGATTTCCCCTCTATTACTTTTCTGGTGACAACCCAAAATTTTACTTTCACTTTCAATGATAATGGTAAAAAGGACAATTAGAGAGGGTGCCCTAACAGGGGCACAGAAAGCAATGAAAGCTGACAGGTGTTCCAAACCCTTTACACTCTATCCAAAAGTAAAAAAAAAAATGCCTTTAATTACACTTAGTAATAGTCAGCCTCTCTTGCTCACTCCTAAAATGGACTAGTTGGATTATGGACTATGGGATTTGTAGTGTACATAGACCCGTGCACATGGTCACAAACTAACATATACTGCTTGTCCCAAACAAATAGAAGTGGCGGTGGGGAGAGAGTTTAAAAAAACTTGTGGAGGACACATGAAAAATAGATTACAGGGCCATTAAGTAGTGAATGTGAATTGAATATTTTGGAGAAAATAAGGATATTGTTTATTGCCACACTAATTATTTGGCAGAAGCACAACTCATTGCTGCTTGAACCATGAACAAAAACTTTGCTTCAGTCTGTCCCTCAGAGGGCAACATCTCATCTTCTGTGCTACATAGAGGTGTTGAAGCCTGCCTATCAATCACCTCTGCAATCCTATGATCATAATGTGTCACCAACGCTGGAAATCACTGAAGGTACCCAGTAATAGCGCTATATGCAAGAAAACAGGCACTGAACCAGGCAGTAAAGACCAGCTTAATATATTGTCCCCTATATGGTTGGTATCTAGGCAAGCATAGGGTAGATTAAGAATGGTAATAGCAATTTAGCATACAAAGTGATTACCAGTAAAGACTAGGCATATGATGATATGTGGTGTCCAGATCAGTGTAAACAGTAGCAAGGCCACCTCAAGTGCAGCAGTGAGCAGTAGTAAAGTTTAGTCTACCAAGTGCTGGAACTATACTGCTAGAGTACATTTATGGTAAGATAATGGTTCGGTATAATGCGGTATAAAATTTGTATAGGTGCTGTTTAGGTTTGGAATAAGTGCGGTATAGAGTGCAGTATAGGTGTAGTATGGATTGGGTACACTTGGTCCCCTGCTCTCAGTGGCTTAATCTCTGCTAGCAGTATGAGCAATGAGCAAATAGCCCTCTCACCAGTCCCTGGGATGCTGCTGTGGCCTCTCACTGTAGAAGGGGGAGCCCTCGATCTCTCCCCGAAAGCTTTCGGCGATCTGCAGTGGGAAGCAGAGGGTGAGTGGATGCTCCAGTTCTCAATGGCAGCTGTGCAGATGCTGTGATGAGGGCAGTGGTGCACTGCTCCCAACTTTCCTCATACCCTGTCTCAGCCTTGGATCTCCACTGGTATGGTCTCCTGGCAGGCGAATATCCAGAGAGATGTGCTCTCTCTCTCTAACTCCCTTGGTACTATTACGCCCCCCAGGTTAGCCAGATAGGCTGTAGGTTGTTTTTGGTTTTTTTTAGACAGAGTCTGGGATGAGTCCACTTGTGAGTGAGGTCTGTGAGTGAGGCAGAAGTTCACCTCAGCACAGGCTTGGTGGCTCTAACAGGGCAGGGCTTCTGGAGTCCTCTCACCCTTCCAGAAATTTAAAGAACTTTCTGGAAGAGGGGTGGAGGAGGGAAGGAGGCAAAGACCTGCATGTTTAAGGGCTCCCCGACCAATTCCCAGGCAGAAGGCCAGGGCAACTATTAAAAGTGGCAGAGCCTGTGCAGCAGAGTCAGTTTCGGGTGGAAGATGGAGTAAGGAAGGCTGGAGTGTGTAGCCTGGGAGAATACCCTAGAGAGGGGACCTACCTACAGGCTGATTGCTAAATGAGAGGATCTCTACTGCCTCAACGTCTCTGGAGAAGGACAGCGTGTGTGGCAGGGAAGGAGCCAGCCCAACAAAAGGCCTGAAGGCAGCCACCAACCCATTAAGCTATCAGGAGAGGACAATGTAATGGCTGGGAGGGCAGTCGGGTGCAAGACTCAACTAGCTTCTCATTCAGGACTGTTTTAAATTTGCAGCTCTTGGTCCCCTTTGACCAGGAATTCCCTCAAGGCAGCTGAGTGAAGAGGAGGAATCATTCAGGGTCCGAGGAGGTACACCAAAGGTGCTTTAGCACCCATTAAAGAGAGACTGTTGCTATCCACATTTTTTTACATAGTTGCTAAGGAGTTTGCCCTCTGTTTCTGCAGTTTCTCAGGCATCCCATTAACCCCTAGACCCCATCCAAATTTAAACCCCTTTAAAAAAATCACAAAAACGAGCTTAATGACTGTTCTTTGACACCAGTGTACAAAACTGTTGAAAATGTGTGTTGCCTGGCCCTGCATAGCTTAGGGGGACCCAAAACTAAGCGAGTCCTAAGGGGGTAATGCTACAGTACCAAGAGGAAGAACATTCCCAGGCGGTTTAAGTAAAATCATCTCTCCACTCCTGCTGCTCAGTGCCTATCAGGATCATTAGTGTAAGGAGTCTATTTGTCCCATCATTTTGCTGCCATTACAAAGTCCCAGGAGTCCCAGCTCTCTGCATAGAAGTCTACGGGCTTCCTTGGCTTTAGCTCTCCCCCTGCTGACCGGAGAAGAATGGTGCAGCATAGCAGCATTATCTCAGTAATCCTATGTTCACAGTTATGCAGGTTGCGTTTTGCGCGTTTTTGCACTTGCATTTTTGTTGCGTTTTTGCCACGTTTTTGATGCGTTTTCGCGTTTTTTTTCTCTTTTTTTACATTTTTCTTGCCTAGCAAGGCAGATTTTAAGCGCAAAACGTAGCAAAAACGCAGCAAAAACACAATACATGCTTTTCTACGGCATTCCCATTGAAGTCTGTGGAATCATAAATGCAACGTTTTGCGTTCAAAACAGCCCTGACCCTTTCCAAAAAACGCACCAGGTGAAAACGCTGAGATGTGAACCTGTCCCATAGGAAATCATGTTAAATGGACTGTACTGCATATCTGTAAAACGCTGCAGAAAATGCATAGGTGTAAACCTAGGGTAAAGGAGAGCAGAATAAAAGGCAATGTCCCTGTCTCAATATTTCTGTAGCCCAGAACCTGGCTACACTTT